AAGTCAAGACACCGCTTCCAGAGCCCTCGAAGAAGGCGTCGGAGCCTAAGGTTTTACAGAAACCCAAACAACCTCGCAAGCCCAAAGTTGTTGACGAGGCACCTCCACCTTACGTTGATGATGGATCCCATGACCTGCTGCAAGAAGTAATCGCTATCGAGCGAGAGAAAGACGAGGAGAAGCGTACCCGGAAAACCAAAGATCCCATTCTGGAATCACCTCCCCCTGCAAGACCTTCGGGCAGTGGACCACCTGGAAAACGCAGAAAGACGAGTGCTGACGACAATGGTAGCGATATGCTGATGTTAGCCCCGTCCCTCTCCAGGAAGGAAAAACCTAGCGCTCCCTCTTTGAACTCTGGCACTCCAACTGCGGAGCCGTCCGCTACGCCCGCGCCCGCGCCTGCTCCTAAATTGTCTCTTGGCAAAGTAAAGAAGGAGAAAGCTGCAAACCTTCGCGATTCAGAACCTGCCTCCGAACCTCTGCGCACGTCCACCAAAGGCAAAGAGAGAGAAGTTGTACCTAGCATTACCCCGACGCCATCAAAGCCTCGCAAGATGCAGGCGTCGGCTCCACTCAATGAGAAGAAGTGTCGGGAAATTTTGAAGGTTATTCTTAGGGTGCCAGAAAGTGTTATATTCGCTCAGCCTGTAGACCCTGAGAGAGATGGATGTCCCACGTTTGTGATATTTTGCACTATTACGACTAACGCTGATATTGGTATAGGTACTACGAGGAGATCAAACACCCGATGGACTTTGCTACTATGACCCAGCGTTTAAACGAGGGCAAGTACTCAACCATGGAGGACTTTCAAAAAGATATCGAGTTGGTGTTCAGCAACTGCCGAAAATTCAACCCACCCACTACATATCCTGTCAACTGTGCGGATGTGGTGGAGAAAATCTTTAAGAAAGAATGGGCGAAGGTGATAGAGAGAAAGCTTTCATGGACGGAGAAGAGGAGCTTACAAGCATTGATGACTCAACTAGTGAAGGAGGACGTGTAAGTTTTATTCCGTCTATGGTGGTTCAGACACACTAACTTCACCGCAGTTCTTGGGTGTTCCGAGAACCTGTTGATCCTGTCCTGTTGGGCATCCCGACGTATTTTGACGTCATACCAAAGAGGGATGCAAGAGACTTGAGAACGATCCGTCAGAAGTTGGACACTGATAAGTACGACTCGACCGATGCATTTGAGGCAGACATCAACCTTATGATTCAAAACGCTATCACCTTCAATGGCGCGGACTCTGAGGTCGGGTATATCGCGGTGAGCTTACGCGAGCGGGTCAAGGAGCTGTTTGGTGGGACCAAGGCGAGTACAGGGACCAAGAAACGCAAGGATGGTGAGAAAGGGACACCCCAGCCATCAAAGAAGGTGAAGCTCGGTTAACCATCATATGTTAAATTACTACAAGTCAAGCAAATAATTCATTTGTATCTATTACTACTCGCTATTCTTTGCTATGTAATTGCTGTCGCGGTAGGCTATGTACATGTCGAACCATCCCTGAAAATCAAAATTTTGTTAGGATCCAGCCTTGCCTAATCTCTAGTAGCCGACCCGAAGTAAGGTATGATGTCTCTTTATATATGAGTCCTCAGTCTATAACCTTTTCACGGCGTCGCAATATGAATACCAATTCCTCCAGGTTCGAACGTTATACCGGTAAGATTACCAGAGGCGGCGGGGACCTCGAAGACAGAAAATACGCGTTGTACCTGTTTCGTCGCGTTGGTGATCCAACCCAATCCTATGTCCAAGAAAGGTGCGTAGACCTGCGTGCTGTTCATGTTGACAACGATAAGCAAGTATGAAGTGCCATTGTACCAGACACCAGCATCCACGCCCTGGTACTCGTAGCTGACAAATGTAGCCTTCGGGTCGACCATGAAGGGCTGAACGTGTTCTTGGATGAGAACCGTGAGGCCAGCTGCCGTCCCCTCGATCGACGTTTCATTGTTGGTTGTGGTCGGGTATTGGTAAGACTTGGAACCTAGGCGATGGAAGTTATTTTGATTCATATGCACGGCATCAGCATGAACTTACCTATAGCACCATGGCTGAAGGAAGTGAATCCCATAGCAGCCCATTGCATGCCGGTGGGAGTCGTGTTCCAGTACCTATAATGAGGGTCAAGACAGAGGTCGTGTTGGCGACTCAAGGTGACTTACGCAGCACTACCGAAAGCCTGGGGTGTGGTCCACACAGACTTGGTACGGTCAAAGCCTAGGATGTTGAGTCTGTCTTTGAAGGTCTGGACACGGGCCTTAACATCCCACATCTGTCCTTGGCAATTGTCGCAACCACAGTGACCGAAGTCCGGGGTACACTCTGTATTCCACACAGGAGACCATGTCGCATTGATACCAATAGGATAAGCATCCTTCACCAGGATTAGAAGCGTAAGTGATAATTATATTATGAGTGGCTCACCTGCAGCACGATATCAGCTCCCTTGATGTAAGGCGAGAAGTTGTAGTCTTGGCAATTCAGAACAATAGAGACAGGATGATATCCGTCCATCTGGTAAATTAGGTCATACGTTGCCTGCGCCGCATTTTGGGGATCAGAGTTGCCATCGGGCTCGTGTGCGGTCTCCCAGTTCAATAGGTTGGGAATTGAGGCGTAAGTGTTCACTTGTTGGGCGACAGTACTCAAGTTTTGGTAGTTCCTGAATGGAAAGATATCAATGATCATGAGATGAGGTAATAATATCTGACATACGATCGCATATCATAAACGATGTACATGCCGACATTGATGGTCCTCTCAATGACTTGTTGGAAGATAGTGAGGTTATCATAAGGAGGAATCGGGTGAAGCTATGAACGATCAGTATGGGATATATTAGATCGTCGCGAATCATACAGTATTGAACCTAGATGAATAATTGGTTAATTGCTTAGAAAGTGGTAGCAATGAAGGACGAACCCATCGTCTTTGAGCTGATTGATCATAGACAAATTTGTCGCCAGATACTGATCGAAATTTATATAGAATCCTTGAGGTACGAAGGGCGCAAATGCTCCACCACTGCCATTTGCAGGCCGTACCCAGAGTGCACCAGTGCGCAAGTCAGTCTTCGTGACAGAAGCATTTGTGTCAGGGAGATACAAAATAGATGAGCTGGTATTGAATTTCTGCTGGGACCCCGAAGATGAAGAAGCAGAATAAGTTGCAGAGCAGGTGACATTGTATGCGGTCTTCTGGGCGCTGAGCGTGCTGATATCTACGGGAATTTGAATGCCGGTAGCGTTCAGAGGAACGCTTGCGGTGGTGTAGATGGAGCCCACGTTGATAGTGACACTGAGGCTTCCTAGGGAGCCGCTAGAAGAGCTAGAGTTGGAGGGAAGTGAGATGGGCTCAGCACCGGCTATCCAATCATAAACGATCAGTGAGTCGACTATAAATGCTGCACTTGTCGCATCCTCCTCGAGGTATGGACGGAAGACAGGGGCACAGCGGAATGACAAAAGAGGTTCAGCACTTCGTGTGGGCAAGATAAACTGTCCGCCAGGGGGCACGACAGACTGATTCGACATGTAGTTCTTTCCGCACCTAGAAATGTTTAGTAATAAGCAAGCAGAGTGCATAATCGAAATCATATGTACCATGTCTGAGCGAGCGAGCCTCTAACCAGGCCGGCGGCAAGCATAGCCGTGAAGCCTTTGTTGTACTTCATTTTGTGTCTCCTCAGCCTGTTTTTGCTGATAAGAACGAAGGAATGGATTCGAATGGGGTGCCGTTGACCAGAGCATCGCAACTTATACTAAGGCTGACCCGTAAAGATCGCCGTGAGCAACTGACTGCGGAGCAGGGCTCTAGTACGTGTAGACCACTATTACTATACTAGAGCGATGACGAGTCAGGCCGATTAAGGCAGTTCCAGAATTCGCGGTGGGATAAACGCTAGCTTGAAACAAGCAGTGTGTTGGTGTAATGAAAACCAACTAGGGTGATATGAATTAATACCCGATTCTGCGGACGCCGCCCATGAAGCTCAGAGCGCTCGAGAAGTGGAGTGTCGCTGCTGCAAATGCACTGCACGATGGCATAGTCGTAGACAACTCGTTGTCAGTCGGTGCCACATTGTACGGGCACTAGTAGGATTGAAGCCGCTCCGGCTTAGATGCAGCCATGATGGTACTAGTAAAAAGATCAAGATCACGATTAGCGCCTGTTCGGGCTCATGTTTCAGGTACTGTAACTCACTCGACAGAGGTAATATTGCAACACTAGTGAACATCGTAGTACTTTGAAGCCATCGCTTGAAGGCCATTGAACTTGAAAGTACCGCGGGTGAAGTAAACTGTTAGAAATTAGAATAATCCGCGGTCGAACGATCATGGTATTCCACGCCAATGGCATAGAATTATATCCGTTTAGAAAAACAATGGCAAAAGCCTGGGTGCATGCTTTGGTGTCGGGAGTAGCAGGGGCAAAGTCATTCAGCGGCCCGACGGCGGGCATAGTGAACGTTGAAGACGTGACAGCCTGAGATAAAATCACTCATCACGTCAAGCATGTCACGCTCCTTCAAAGCTTCACTGCGGATGATCACGTTACATTAGCAACGATTATATGAACCCCGAGGCCGAGACTGTAGATACTGCCCATGACTCGCGTGCGAGTGGGAGCATCTGGCTTGTGCTCACATCACAGACTGTTCGTGAACGCTTCGAGTACGCAATGAGCCATCCCACCAAGCATTCCGCACCAACTCAATCGGATACATCGATTCGCGCAAAGGGGCGTAAAATACTTCACATTCCTAATTGTGGGCTTCAGTGTGCAGTCAGCAAGAAGTCCTGGAAGCTTGACCGATCGGGTGACCAGGCCTCGAGAAAGCAGAATGCCATTTGGTATGTAAATAGGCAATGCCGCACAACTGTAGCATCAAGTTGTGTCAGTCTAACTTATGAAAGCTTCAAGAAACACCGAGAATGCAATCACAAGTGTACAGCATCAAGAGGACTCTCACGAGGCATTTATTAGAAACCTGTTGCCGTCGCCCCTCCAAAGTCAGGAGAAAACCGTTCAGGCGGCATGCCCATCATCGGATCTCCTCTGCTTCCAGCGGCCGTCTTCGCTGCTACAGTGGAGTGCAAGCCCTCCAAAACTTCCGTCCACCTCTCAAGTGCGGCATAACGCTTCTTCTCCAGTGCGTGGCTACGATTGAGTTAGTACGGAGTGTGTAAAAGAACAACGACAGCGATTTGCTAACCTTTGATCGAGTTCAAGGCGCATGCCTACTTGGTCGATTCGGCCATCAACCTTTCCCTCTAGAATAAGCCCAATAAGGAGCTCCTCGACCTCAGCTATTTCGACGTTAAGTTGCTGAACGACTATCAGCATCAAAAATAGTTGCAAAAGGATCGAAACAATCACTTTGGCAAGGAACGAAAGCTCCAGTCTCGTGTAGGGCTTGATGAGGTCAATCAAATAGGACGTGCGCAGACTGCGCAGAAGTTCACCGATATATGATCTAATGAACAGGTCATCCATAATCGTTGACCGATTATCTGCCATCACGTTGAACACTGCATTAGATACATGAAAGGCCTTACCTCGTAAGATCTTCTCAGCCAGGTGAACTTCTCTGCGTTGATAGGCATCTACAAGGTCAGTCATCGCCTTAATCTGTGAGTCATTCTTGTATGGCTTTGTTTCTTGGGAGTCAAATGGGTTAACTTCAGATCCAGTGAGCATGTTCGCGAGGACAAGGTACTTGAGGACCTGGATACGTTGCGGAGAGCCAGCTTCGTCATAGTTGCGGAAGGACTCGAAAAAGTCTTCCGATGCACGATTCCACTGTCCTTTATACAATAGCGTTAGACATGAGTGAGGATCCAGGGATGAATAAGAGTCACTTTCGCCCATCCACATCTTGCCTCCGCACTCCTTGATAACACCCATGATCCGTGGATGTGGAATTGCGGAGCGCACACTATTCGATGCATTGTATATTTCCTATATTCGACAACTCGATTAGTTCTGAATGATTGCGTGGCATGCGAGGTTGTACCTTGAGTTTCTTGACATTACGCATCTCATTGTGCATTTGAATCTCGAGTGCATAGATCTCGAGGAGCTGTGTTCCGCGTTGTGACTGGTCTTCGCTATCCATAGCAGCCTTAGTCGTGGCGTGCAAGTCGCGGATGAGCTAATTGTAGGGACTGTTAAGATCATATATACGAAGATAAATTATAGGTACCTTCGTCAAACGCCCGTACTCTTTTCGATCTAGCCAAAGTTTCGCCAGTTTTAAATTCGTCTTGACAGACAGACGCTAGAGGGAATATCAATATCTCAAAGAGCATATTGCGCCACCACAGTACTCACATCATTCTTCGCCTCCTCGAGCGCATCTTTCGTCACCTGGTAGAACTTTTCTAGTACATCTACCTCGACGGGACCACTCTTCCCCCCACCAACATAATCAAGGATGCCATTGATGGTCTTCTCAGAGTAATTTCGTGTGACTGCAGACTTGGTATAGGTCAGGAGTTGTGTGTAGGTCTTCAAGGCATCCGCTGGCCGGTGTAGCTGTAGGAAGAGGAGTTTGGTAGATTGTTTCAAAGCCTTAAAGCCCCTGTGAGGTATCCGTCAGCATACAGTTTTGATCAATGGGCAGGGCAACTATACCAGTCGCCTTTCTCTGTTTCCTGGTCCACTATTGCGCGAAAATCTTTTAGTGCTTCCTCTGGTGTATCCTCTTTCTTTGCTGGAAGAAGAAATGCATCAACAAATTCTGTTGTACACTAGATTACCCACATTTTGCAGTATAGTACATGTTCTCTACATCAGCACTTCCGGATTCGTTGGCCTCGTCTCCATCAGAGTAGTCGAAACCGTAATCCTGCAAAATAGCTCGGGGTCAGCATAACGTCCAAGGGGCTGATCTTGAAGAGTGTGTGACCTCGTCATCGCTGCCCTGCATATAATCGGCATCATCGTCATCCATCGTGAGCTCAAGTTACGAAAGAGATACAGTAGACGACGAAATGATGGACGTGTGCGGCTTCGGGAGGAGGTGGCGCGCTACACGCGAAGTCACAAGTCACCCTGAGTATTGAGCTTGAAAGGCACAGCATTGTGAGTTGAACGTGAACAAAAGTTACTGCGTTGGTTCAAAGTCGTAAAGTTCATATCCAGATAGTAATATCATATTAATTCTCGCCAGAACCTAGGATAATGGGATAGGATAGAAAGGGATGTGCAAAGTATCGCGGAGATAGACTGTGACTAAATGCTCAGCAAGTGAGGCCAATAATTTCATGAACCAGCCGCCTTGCTGCGGGAAGATGACATCTCCACTCACTGCTGAGGGGCTAGTGAGATGTGAACACAACATTCAGCAGCAACGTGCACAATACTTGATAATACCGAGCGCAAGTTACCTGACCTGTAGCATACAGCAACTCACAATTTGAAAGACGTGATTTGTGCTCGAATGGTTGATCACAACGGATCAAGCTCGCATCCCGAGTCGTACTCCAGTGTTTGTGCCAAAGAGACAGGACTCGCCACACGAGACACGCCCACCCCATCACTAAGACCACATGACTCCCGACACCTACCTCCACATAAGAGTGGGTTCCCTTCGACATTGAGGACATTGGCTGATTCTTCAAGGCAAGTCTCAGCATGACTGACAACGTGCCATGTGTGATAAATGCGTCAATATTGGTTGAGACCTGCCGAATTCATAACAAGGTCTCACAGACCTAACAAAATTGTGAGCACTTGTAGCCGGCCAATATCTGGCACATCGTAAGACCTCAGCAAATAAAAGACTAATCGCGTGCTCTACGTGTGCACCTCCTGATAACGATGAAAACATCTTATGACCATGCCTGTGAAGTGACGCGATTAATATTTGCCTACACCAAAAGCGATGAACATACTCATGCCAAGGGCCTCTGGAATGCTCTCCATTCATTTGGCCAGCCGTTCTTCGGCGGTGTATCTGTTGGTATGCGGAGTTCTCTAGGGAACAAACCCCTCACTCTGGACTCGACAGCCCGCTTCTCCGGTTCAGACATACTCTTCATGGCCTCTACCTCAGCCAAGCTCCTCGCTCTTGGATCCTCTTGCTTGTTTGCTTCCCTAAACAGCCTCGAGTCAATCTCTTCCAGTTCCTGCATTGCCTGTCTCATGCAATTAAATTTGCGTTGCAGCTCCGCGTCCCGTTTTTTGCGTAGGTGTCTCTGATGGAGGAGCCAAGCGCGCTCAATAGTCTCGTGCGCTTGCACAGAAGGGATTGCACGCTGCAGAGCGCGTGCGACATCTGGGCGCCATGTACCAGTAGGAGAGGCTTTGTTGCGGATGTTCGGAGGGTACAAATAACGGCGGATAATGTCTTTTTGTGGATCGGAAGAAGACACCTCGCCCTTGCGAGTCGAATAAAGCCGCGCAACCAGTCCGCGCAACTGGGATGGCAGCCCGTTCGATTTCGAAAATGAGATGGACATAACTCGCAGCGCGCGACAGTGAAAGCAAGTGAATAGTGAACCGACAAATTTCATCACTTTGTTCATTTTCCCACGGCTGCTTTACTTGAAATTCTCTAGAGCACTGTGAACCGGCAAGTGTGCTGAACAAAACATGTCTTTTCCCCTCGGGCTGCTCTGTCGGCAATGTTGCCATTCAATTCTTAGTCCAGTAAGTGCCTACTCTTCTGAAACGTTCCGATCTGAATTTGCGCAGCGCCCAGCACTCGTTCGAGAGTTTTCTTCATCACCCATCTTAGCTCTACGACGAACGAAAAAGATCCCGGTGCTCTCGAAAAAAGCCCTTGCAGCAAAGGCAAGAAAGCGCGCAGCGAAGGCTCGCAAGCATATATATGAGAATGAGAAGATGACTCTTGAAAGCGCTATTGACGTGATCCGTGTATGTCCCCCGGGCCTTATTACAGCTCATTTACTCAGGATCTCGGTAGGCGGTTGAAGTCGCGAAAGCAAATGCTACATACGAGCTGGTAATCAAGACTGCCATGTCCCGCGGATCTATTATTCCAAAGGGTCGTATTGCTCTCCATCGTGAAACTAAAGCTCGCCCCGAAGACCGCATTCTTGTATTTGCCGAGGGCCGTCAGGCGGATGAGGCAAAGAATGCAGGGGCACATATTGTCGGTGGAATTGAGCTAGCAGATGGTATAATCAGCGGTAAACATCACGCAACCACCATTCTGTGCTCCACAGCCCTCATCCGGGCCATCACCCCCAAACTCGGACGTATCCTAGGTCTGCGTGGTTTGATGCCTTCTGAGCGTCGAGGGACGGTTACGGATGATTTTGCCGGCTACTTGCGGCGACTTTCTGGCACTACAGAATGGAAAGGCGACAAGAACGGTGTCATTCGGATGCCCATTGCCAAAGTCGGTGTTTTCGCTCGTGCTGGCCGCGATTTACGATGTCTAAACATCTTTATTTACCGACAGCTCCACTTCCCGATAGAAGACGTAGTCAAAAACGTCAAGCAATTCGTCACCGCTGTCAAACGAGTGACCGGGAACCAGAAAGATACCGAGGAGAAGGGAAAGAGCAAGAGCGTCAAGCCCGGTGAGTTTCTCTGGCACTTTGACCATTTCTGGTGTTGACTGGGCGACTACTAGTCAATGCTATCACACGTGTAATGTTGAGCTCAACGCAGGCACCCAGCATTCAGATATCGGACATTTGATAGAGCAGTGTTGATCGGGAACTAGACAATGAAAGTTCTGATTTCAAATATTCTGCTTGACAACAACGTGTAGCTTGTGCACCCTTGCAAAATCACCTTTTCCTTGTCACTAACCATTGAAGCGCATTTACATATCATATAGAAGATGTTTCATAAAGTGATCCTGTCATCATCCTCTATTTTTGGCTCTTTGCCAGCTCTCTGCCTGTCTCAGATAGTCGACCAGGAACGTTGGAAAGATAGGCTAGACGTCCACGTATTAAATGTCCCCTGGACAAGCACACAACACGTTGAGATGGCGTGTTTGGCACTGTCTGAGGTGTACACGATCGATAATGACTGATTGGCGGTGGCATCATGATGATGCGTAGCTAATTGATAGGAGGAAATAGACCACGAAAACAAACATTCCTGACCAAGTTGCACTCAGGTGAAGACTCACCATGTTTCCTAACTGACAGGGAGTAACACCAAGCTCAATACGATGATACTGGTGATATTACATTGAATTCACTTGATTTGCAGTAGTGTAGTAGCGTGTGAGAGGAAATGAGCAGAGCAAATGCAAGAGATCCAGACAAAAAAAAAGATTTCTACTATCACTCAGCTAGCAATGTGAAGTGATCCTTCTGCACTGCACGGTCGCGTCTGGAAGTTCTCTTCCTCTCTTTCAATGCCTCTTCTGCCTTTGAATAAGATTTCTCGCCTTTGGGATGATCCCGGCCCTTTGCCCTCTTTCCAATATCATCACCCCTTGATACACCCTCCCGCGTAGACTGGAACTTCTCCTGTGGACGATTTTTTGGCGGATGAGGGAAAATATCGCCCCAGGACGATTTCCGCGCGTCATAGAATGGTTGTTTACCTTGGGATTTCGGAATAGTCAGACGCATAATTTTGCCTGTACATACGTTAGATCACGGAGCCAGAAACGAGGAACGGCGACAAACCTTCTGCAGTGCATGCGTCAATGATGATGTGCCCGCTCTTTTTCAAAGGTGGGAAGACGAGGCGCGGCCAATGGAATGCCTCATTTCGCAGCGCAGCTTCAACCTCCTCTGAATTTTCAGCTGGTAAAATTTCCGACGGGATGGGATCAGTTGCTTCAGCTTCATATCTCGTCTCAACATGATCTGCATCAAGTACAAGCTCCTTCGTCACCCTCTCTTCCTTTAACCTGATTTGCTCTGCCTCCTCTCGACCGATAGCGCCAACACGTCCTACACTCCTCACCTGTGTGGAGATGCCTTCGCCCACCATGCTTGGGCGCGGCCCGCGTTGAATTGCAACATAAGAGTACTCGATATCTTCGTGACCCTCACGTGCATGTTTTGTTAGACGAACAAATGACGGACGTTGCAAGCGTTGTGAGAAGCCACACACTAGGCTCACAGATTTTTCAAAGTACAGAGGGCAAGAACCATCGTGTGGGCACTATTGCAAGAAGACAAGAGTCTCAGTATGACTCATCGCGGGGTTGAGAAATCCAACACCTACGGGAGCAACAACGTGGGCACCGCGAACAGGCCAGTCTGAAGTTTCTGGGTCATTGAGTTCTTTACGCCCCATCTCCAGAAGATATTCGCGTGCTTCTGCAATGTTCTGAAATCCAGCTTTGGTTTTGTGATCGATCAAAACCTATAATAATTTAAGTTAGACAGTGACTAAGGTGAAGGGACAAAAATGAAAGCTCACGATGGTATGTGCTCCACTTTCCCACAACTCTTTCACGAACTTCTTCCGTGCGAGAGGGGTTTGTAGAGTTGAAAGCATGAAAGCAGACAGGGCCAGAGTATCAAGCCCCTCCGATCGCTTAATTTTATCATCTTCTCGAAAAGACCTTTGCCAAGTTGCACTGAGGGCGCCCAAGTCTGTATCTGTTTCATTAATTTAGTAAGTGCGCAGCGAGATGCAGCACGCGTACGTCACCTCTCAGTAGACGTTTGCCTATTGCAACAAGTCCGTCACGTTTGTCGATGCCAAGGTACGTGAAAATATTGGATGTGGAGAGGCGCGGCTCCTCGGAAGCGCTAAGGGGCTTCTGAAAAGTATTCATCGATGCCCTGATGTTCTTCAGCATTTACAAGTTACAACATATATAACGTACCATAATCCGCTGCCTGCACCTGAGCCCCAGTCTATGACACGCTGCGCGTTCCATTGTGGACCTAATCTGTGCTTAATATGCTGGAGCACAGCAAAAATGGCAGAGTAATGTGCAGGGAAAACGACCGACGCGAACGCTGTCCCGTCACGGTCAGAGTGTCGCGCCCCTTGCTTACGAGAGCGGTATTTCACGTTGTACGAGTGATCCCATCCTTCACTCTCATGAAAGAAGAGACGCGTCGCATCACTATGGAGCTGCACCTTGTCAGAAGCTGATAAGTGATTAGAATGTGTAGAGACCGGTTTCACACCACAAACCATCTATCAGAGCAGTGATTGACTTTTGCAATTCAGTGGGGATTACAACAGCACCGATTTTTTGGCTTCCAAACCGCGCTGCAGGAGATTTGCGATACTCGTTTCGTTCGGAGTGATCTTCAACGAAGCCTTCCGCGTCCTCGGCCCCCTCTGGGTGTTCAATCGCGACAGGTTCAAGCTCGCGTGGGGGTATTTTGGCCATTATATGCTTATGGCTTGTCAAGGAGATATCGATGTCTTGCAAAAGCGCCTTTAGCGTTGGGTCGAGGTCTAAAGCCACGTTAGGTTGGGTTGATGCTGCTACTGCCGACGTCGAGAATGGACTGCTAACATGCCGGATACTGTGCGCAAGGACGCGCAAAGTAGCGGATGTACCTCGAAGCATCCTAGCAGTATTTGAAAAGTTGAGGTAGTAGTCCCAGACTCGGACTCTCAGTTCACCGTGAAGTGTTAAGTCGAAATTGTGCGATTATATAATGGAAGTGTTTAGTTAGTCGCGCCTCATCTACTACAGACTTTGCACAGACGCGTCCATCCCAATGACCAGCAGGAAACCAGCTATTCCAAACGACTCTCGTAGCTACGACGAGCGTCCTGCGAAACGGGCAAAAGTAGATGATGAACGCCAGGATAGTACACCTTCCGCGGAGCCGTCACACGCCATGGAAGATATTACTGGAGCAGCACTTCTTTCAGAAGATGAAGACGAAGATGGTTTACATGACGAGGTTGAACCAGGGCAGTCGAAAAATGAACCTAGAGCATCAGACCTTTACCTTGACACGGTGCGCCATCCAATAAGACCTATTGCGCACGTATTCGCTGACAAGACCTTTAGATCAATCGAGCATTGCTCGACTTTGACTTCGAGAAAGTTTGCTCCGTGTCTATGTCAAACATTAACACATACGGCTGCCTAGTCTGTGGAAAGTACTTTCAAGGACGAGGTCGCAAGTCGTACGCCTATGCGCACTCCATTCATGATGACCACCATGTTTTTATCAACCTTGAGACAACCAAAGTGAGCTGAATGCTAATCACACGTACATGGACTCACGTCGCATAGGTGTATGTGCTTCCAGATGGTTATCTTGTCTCTGACCCATCTCTCGAAGACATTTCGTTTGTTCTCAATCCATCCTTCACGAAGGCCTCCACATCCACCCTCTCCTCGCCATCCCATCTTCTGAAACCCTCCTACGACCTCTCGTCAAAACCTTATCTCTCTGGTTATATTGGCTTAAACAATATTAAGCGAAACGACCACATGAATGTTATCATACATTCCCTCCTCCACATTCCTCCTCTACGAGATTACCTCCTTCTGTCCTCCTTTCGCGGCAAGGAGTCTGAACTGGTTAAACGATTCGCCGCTCTCGCTAAGAAGATATGGAATCCCCGGCTATTCAAAAGTCAGGTTAGCCCTCACGAGTTTCTTCAGGAGGTCAACCGCGCTAGTGCGGGTAAGTTCCGACTCGAGCAACAAGGCGATCCTGTCGAGTTTCTCGGCTGGTTACTTAACCGACTACACAAAGACATGGGTGGAACTAAGAAAAAAAATTCGAGTGAGTCGTGTGCAGACTGACTAGCCTGCTGTTCGCCCTCATTCGGCCTCCGAATTGATACATGAAATGGACAGGTATTATATTCTCAACGTTTCAAGGAGAACTCCGCGTGGAGACACAGCAGGTCGTTGTCCGCCCAGACTCTACGGGTTCTGAGAAGCCGCAGTTTGATATTGATAGAGGTGGGATCGACTTTGGTGGTCACCTGGACCCTTATTCATAACAGTGCACGTCAGACATCAAGGCTACTGTGTCGCCGTTTCTCTTTCTTGCGGTAGATCTTCCCCCACCACCTCTTTTCCAAGATACGATCGAGAAGAACATTATCCCACAAGTTAGCATTCATTCTGTGCTGGCCAAGTACGATGGAGTCACCACGCAGGCGAGTTTAGATCTTTTCTTTTATTGAACCGAACTAATATATTTTGGATACAGGAGTCCGCTGGCCAGTTACGCAGGTACAAGTGTCAACGCCTCCCACAGTATATCATTTTACACTACAAGCGATTTACAAAGAACGCCTTTGTCGAAGAGAAAAACCCGACGATTGTCACGTTCCCACTCAGAGGAGTTGATTTCCGTGAATGTGAGCGCTTCGACCATACTCACGTGATAATCGCGTTAGAGTAACCAATGACTGATGATACGATTTATGTGCTATAGATCTGGATGCAGCACCAACGCATCCGCCAACCGTCTATGATCTGATCGCCAATGTAACCCACGAATCAGTTGCCGGAACTACTCGCGACAAGGAAAACACGATTTGGAAAGTTCATCTCCGTGCCGCTGGCGGGGGCGGCGAGGGCGAGAAATGGTTCCAGATCCAAGACCTCATCGTTGAAGAAACGCGCAAGGAGATGATCTTCCTTGGGGAGACCGTGCTGCAGGTGCGCCATCCCTGTATTATGTATGGATTATATGATCTCACGCGCTCAAATTAGATATGGGAACGACGTGCTGCGAACGCCGATGTTAACGCGTCAATGAAAATGGTTGTCGATCGACGGTGATACCGAAGCGTTGGTTAGACATTAGGCTGAGGAGATACCGGGGTTTCGACTTACAGTGTATGGGAGCCCCGCCCCCAATGAGACCGGAGATACAAATACACATCTTACATATCATGACCAGCGCATGTTAATGGAGCTCAGCGAAGCTCACGCGTCACTAATCGTCCAAGACAACACATGAAATTGTATTGAGCCGTCTACGCCCCTGTTTTGGGCACAAGGTGTTCCGAGTACGGCCGCCGTTCTCCGCGGCGACCATAAACTGGCACACCTGTCTGGTTGATCAGAGGGCGCGTGGGCACGCTTTAGGGGCGCATACCCTGTGCTAGCGCAGTGTAATGTCACTTTGCCGAAGAATGCGGTGACGGCGAAGATGCAGGGGATTTCCCTGGCACACCGGGTGATGCTATTGATGTGTTCATCGGAGGAACTGGCTTTCGGCTAATGATGGCAATTTATAAGTTGTTGATAGAATATGCATGGCAAACTCACTTCGCAGCAACTTCTTCGAAAAGAGGTTTGAATATGTAAACACCCGAGGCGACGCCTAGTTAGTTTCACAGCGGATATAACATTAATGACAGCGATTGAGATGAGCCCACTTCATACCTGTTAAAACTGCGACCATGTATGGAGTGAACCGCCGTGACATGATGATGGCTTTGCGTGAAACGTGCAAGCCGCAACAAAACACAGAAACTTTATTTCCGTTTTGGGAGTGAGATTCAAACTCAGCGGCTATGAGTTTGCCTCAAGGTCATCAGATTCAAAGTTGCCAATCCAAGAGGCCAACACGCATGCAAATTTATGTTGTCGAAAGTCTAGCGATACCTCTCTCGCAACTAAATCTTTGCGCTGTTTGTTAAACCAGATGAAACTCTATAGCAACGTAGGGGATAAAAGCAAGCCGTTGTACAATGTAGCGTCGAGCAGAAATATCAATTAATACCCAATCTTTCACAAGCAATTCGCGCCGCTTCCTCTTTGGCGGCGCCTTTCTGATTGGCAGTGGCAGTACTGATGACTTCGCCCTCCACTGTGGATGACGACATCTTAGACGAATTTTCTTCGTTTCGAGAGATGGATAACACGTGCCTTTGCAAGTCACAGTCCATGAGCGAGCATGCGACGGTCCAGACTGAACCTCAACCCAGGAGACAGTGTGAAGCTTGCGGCGGGATTGGTAGTCTTTAAAGTGTCAGAATTAGCATCTCCTAACCTTTATGAAGCAAAGGCTGGACTTGCGGTTGTTCAGAGCAATAGCATAGCCTGGAGAAATATCAGCATTATTCAGTGATAATCCAGAAGCGATAACATACGCAACATTATGTTCAGGATACAGATTACAATCTTGTAAAGCTGGCAAAGTAAAGAGTACTTCCTTGTCTATCCTGTAGCACAACTTGTGCGTATTTAAACCTGCAGGTTCAACGACATGCCGCGAGGCAGCCAAAGTGAATACCGATAGCCTCCGATATTGTCTATGTTGGTCACGGAAACCAGATAACCGCAGTTCCCGTAGTCACAACGAAGAAAATCCCGTTGTATTCAACCATCAAAGAAAACTCCGCAGGATAAACATATCTGCAATTTATTTCAGAGGCCGTAGGGAGTGCTCTTGAAGACCGAGGTAAACGTCACCTTTTTTTTTTAAAGAACGCACGTCTATTGTAACAACAATAGAAGGCAGAGTAACTGGAAGACACCAGCACCAAGGATGACATACATCGGTGTCAAACCAATAACAGCGAAAAACACGCGCACCGACCCGGTCTAGTTTGAATACCGACCTGGACGCACTAGGAGGCCAGCAAAAACAGATATGATGGACCTATAGTCTGGCTAGCCCATATCGGAGGCGGAATCAAGGAATGACGAAATGCGGTCTACATAATGCTGCGGTTTGATGCAACCAATAACAATTCCTGGTCACAGCAGCCCTGCGCGCTGAGCGCTCGAGAGGCCCGGTGCGGATGTAGATAAGAAAAGCTTAACAATCGCGTGGCCATACGGCACACGCGCAAGGGTCGGACAGATACAGCGGAGATTTATGGTCGGCACTCTCACCATAAGTCCGACAGCAGATCGATCATACCTGGGGCCCAAGTCTAGTCACCGACATGTGACAAATCTGGGAAGTGATGGAGGTCGATCAGGGTCCATAGGGAATCATTGGCAAAGAAGAGTGTCTCTGAATCTAAACTGTGAACGTTGAAAGGTTAATTGTTGTGGGCGTCGACGTCGATCCAAGACATGGAAGGGCCGCAGTGGATAAAGATACCTTCGTTGTAGTCCATCTCGACTCGGATTACTTTGATACAACATAGTAGGAATTCAGATATTGACCGGAAGGAGCTAAGTAACATCGCCGTGATTGAGTCCGAGTCAGCATATGCTTCCGGTGTCTTAGTGGATCTCCAGCATAGCACGGTCGAAAGCTGATGAAAAGCTGAAAAACAGCAGGTTACCCGTGCTGGTCTGGATGGGAGACAGAGTGTAGTACCCGCGTCGTCGGCGAGTACCGTGTGGTAAGGCAGAGATATCTATGCAACGAGGTTTTATCGACACCTAGTACTATGCGAGTGTCGTCTAACTCAGGTTGAACAAGAGATTTGAGAGAGAGGCAAAAATGATCACGGACCCTGATGTGCTAATGAGATAGATTAGATAAGATGAATGACGTGTATAAACTAAAAGTGATATAGGTACAGGAACTTCCATTGAAGTATGTATGATGAATGGTGATGCATATTGATGAATGAAAATACATGAGGATGGACGTAGAAGAAATGCGCAACTTGCAAAAAGAGGGGGAAATGCGAACAAATGAAGATAATACAATATGAACTCGACTAACTCATCGACATCCGCGAGAGCCAGCCTTCACGGCGGTGACTTATAATTCAGCCTTGGTCAGACCTTAATGCAGTCAACGCCTGACTAGCTGCCACATTTCTAGCCTGGTGTTTATAAGTACCCGAGCCTATTCCGTAGGGAATGCCGGAAACTTGAAATGGCGGATCAGAGCCGTCTGATAAGCGGATACAAGAACAAAAAAAACTCACTTCTGCAAGTGGACGTCCACACGTACTGGTGTGTGGGGCCCTGGCGGACATCGATCCAGCTTAAAGCGGAGCTTTGTCCGATGGATTGCAGATCTGAAACCTATAGTCAGCTTTTAGATCACCAAAGCAATTGCACGAACAATTGTTAAGGGCATTCGTAGCGTCTTCAAACGTCGTCAGCTGAGGCAGAGCAACACAAGGAACTGTGACAAACCATTAGCTTGCTGTCTTCGAGACATCGCAAATGTTTGAGTTAATGACCATAGCTGAACTCACTAGCAGTTATTATACCACTCAAACATACGTTTCATGGGACTTTGGAAAAAGAGAGACGGTGTTAAGTGGAGGCGATGCCCGATGGAACTAGGAGAATAATGTTTTCATGATCGCGGCGTTGAGGAAAATAATAGACGGAAAACCAAAAATTCCCAAGATGCATGAAATAGGGCGAGCTGCATGCAATGACGATCGACTCAGTGAGAAGATGCGAGGGACTGTGACATGTGCCCCTCATGTATCTTGTGCAGTGGATCGTTCCAAGCGCTTTACAACCGAGCTCGGAATGAATGATACGCGTTCCCTCTGCCGGCCTTGATACAGGAAGTTCGAACAATACTGTGGGGCGCAGTCAATCATGAACTGCAGCAACATTGTCTGTTAACCAAACCTCTATGCTGCACTCGCGAGCCGGTGATAAGTCAGTTAATCCCGTTCGTTGTGACGATGTTAGAGGACTCAACCAACGATTGAATCTGTTGTTAAAACTTTCGCGCATTACGCCCGTCATATGTGCTCAGGGTGCGGTAACAGATCAAAAAATGGCACCAGGCAGACGTGCGCTCGGGCCTATGCGGTGGAAAGCAGGCATGTGGAATACGCATTTATGCCTTTAACGATTACACGTTGTTGCACAGTATTTTGTACTGGAACGGGAAGCGACTCGGGCCACAACGATTCTTCTCACCCAACCTGAAGCCGAGGAGTAGCACAGCCACGTGTTTCACTGCTGTCAGTTATTCACGCCCTCATGATATTCATTGGAAATTCTGATAGACTCGATAAATATAAAAAATGTAACACAAGGAGGGAACTGCGGGGGGACAATAATGAAGAGGAAAATACAAATTTAATGATCACAAAGCTTCGACAGAGCTGGAACAAAGTCACGTAAGCAAATTATCAGAAGTCTTGTGATCAAAACAAGAGGGTGAAGACAACAAAGCAGCAAAAGCAGCTACACGGAAAATTAATGATAAAACCTCAATGGCCAATTCCTGGTTGCATGAGGGCTTGTAGAGCAATCTGACAAGCAAGTTCTCTAGCAGACGCTTTGGTTGCCCCCTCGCCTCTGCCATATTCATGGTCTCGGACTAAGGATAAATCAGGTATGCACCAGGAAGCGGAAAAAACAACTGACAGTATACGATCACGGTCCACCACAGTGCGTGCCCGGGACCGGTCGATGAACTATCGATCCGCAGGTCTTGCGTAGATCTGAATCTGTGTTGCAGGAAATTGTTCAACTGCATGCGGTGGTCTACATGAAAAAAAAAAATCAAAAATCATCACACAGTGAATATATATAGACGCACGAGATTGGTCAGGTACGCTCTGTTGGCCGACATGCTGGTCTTGTCCAAATTGTGTGTTATACCCATCCCCTCGACCATGTGCATGGTGTTGACCGCTGCGGCGACTCCTGTCGTTGTGGTAATTCTGGTCGTGATGATAACGTGACATGACAGTCGATGATTCAGACTTCGCACTTGAGCTCGAAAATAGGGAGGAATTGGTTGATGGGTGCGCCGGTGGTCTCCTTTATATCGAAGAAGCACATACACCAATTGCTTACCTCGCAGCCAATGCACTCGTAGCATCGGAGCTGCTCGCTATGAGTTTCCGCAGTTGCAGAGTCGGACAATGAACGCCATGCATTGTATCCTGTAAAGAATTCCGAGGCGGGCGGTGCTCGTCGTAACTGTTCTCTGGTTTGTGTACTCTGGAGTTATGGGTCAAGCAATGCTGTAGGAATGCGGCAAATTGCCACTAGTAGGCGTGCTGGATTTTACACTGTATTTGTGTTTGACCCAAAAGTATTCTAGCCGACGGTCAGCGTACTTGAAATTTTTCGTCATCTGGCGAAGAGGTACAACTGGAGTTTGGACCACCATTTTCTTGTGCTTCACGATTGTTTCATAGTGAAGATACACTACCGCCTAACAAGCGGAATCACTAATGTTAGCAACGCAGTAGCATAAAGGTCCAAACCTACTCAGGCATCGTTACGCCGGCTGGTCTCCCCTAGTAGAACCTTCAGAAGAAAGACAGTCGTTTTTCACGCAGTACGTGGTGTGAATTGCAACAATGTTGGCCTAGATGGAAGTACAAGGCTCCGTCACTAACCTTCGACACGCAATATGTGTTGTGAGTCGCAACACTGCTGTCCTAGATGGAAGTACACGGCTCCGTTAACTGGGAGATAGTAGACCAATCACTAGGGTTCGACATGGACTAAGCTCGTTCCTTGTAACTGCCAGTAGCTGCGGTGAGTACTAGGTTGGGAGATAGCTCAAAGTTGAAAACGTCCGGCCCAGTTGTCCCACGCTGAGAGCAGCAATTCGTTTTCATCCCACTCCCCGAAGTAATTGTATACCTGGCAAAATTCTTTCAAGGCGCATATGAAGACACTCAAAGATAGGTTACCCACCAACACCAATCTACACATCGAAGGACTTCCGTTATCGATTAGTGGAAGGAGCTTGCTGTTTTGGTGCATCCTTGCGCCATCAACTTGCGTTCAGGCCTGAGGGCAGCGGCTTCCTTAAAACGAAGCTGAGTCCACGCGAATAGTTTTTCTACTAGAGACTCTGGTACGCACAGCTGCAGAAAGATACCTGCATAGATCACGATTCTCCGGATGCGTGTGTGCAGGATTTTCGACTGTGTTGCCGATTTTGAACAACCGCGATTAGAGAGAATGTGGAGGCTCCGACGATCATTCAAAGAGCTCCAAGCTCTCGCCCACAAGACCACAGTAAATTGCATCCCCGCCGACCGTTGCCTACCCTCATGACGAGTTTCCCTACATATCAAGTTTTTATCGCCAAACCTGGATTTGCCTGCCAGCGATTTCGTCATCGCAGCTGCCTGGGTGTCTTTATTATCTGTACTAAGACAGCTCTAGTTCTCCCTCGACAGCTAGGTATCATGACCATCAAACCCGTTCTGCACCCATTGCAACAAAACCTAAATTTGAAAAACGCCTAAATAATATCGACACTTGCCGCATGATGTCCAACGCGCCTATTATCTTCAAGCCTTCACACACACTATACACGAATAGCGCGCGGCCGTCTGTGCGGTAGCCTCGCAGACGAATACAACCCAAGAATGGGTCCACTGCCCTCGAGGAGCTCATCTACAAGCTTACGCAAGGCTACGTAATCAATAGTACCAACAGTTACAGGGCCGAACAGCAACAAGCTGTGCACAGATGCGATCGCGTTCTTCATCAACGCCCTCATCGTCTAGAACCCGGAAGTAAACTTAATGTGAACACGCAGGTATTCCACGGCCCTGAGCAGAACGCCACTATCCGCTGAGCGCTTACTGGTGGAGCCCCTGGGTGGAACGAGCCGTTTGTCGATAATCCTGGGACATTCTACCGCCAATCTCCGAAGTCGACAACTCTCGGCCGACATGAACCGGAGTCCGGGTAGGGTAGGGATCAGATATAGGAGCTGGCTACTGTTGATTCGGAGGGTGGGTGTTTTAGTATTCTATATAAGGGTTTGCCGGCTTGAATGGGAGGTGGGGAGAAGGATGTTATTGGAACTGTTTTAACTTCAGTGGGTTCAACGATGTGATGGCCCCGGCCGTGAACTGAAGCATGTGGTCAAGCACCTGAGTACTAGTGACTAGCAGCGAAAAAGGGAACTCAGTTTTCTTGAATTTCCATTCTTGCTACGAGAAAATCGGCTAGAGAGCACACTTTTGAGATCACGCAAACCAACAACCTAGGTAACCAGACTGCAGCAAATAAGAGCATGGAAATATGTGCTGACTAAGACCTTGAGTGCTCCAGGCACGTGTACTACCAAACTCCAAGTAAAAATTACTTTGATCACAGGACCTTAATGAGACCGTGTGTCATCGCAATCTATCAGCGACAATATCCTTCCTTACTCTACCGCCGAGTGCTCGCTGCATTTAGTTCAAGTCTCTCATTGATGCTGGTGCTTAGTGGGTGGCAGGCATGGAACGCACACAACATCAATATTATTCTCTTCGCAGGGACTATATTTGAAAGGTCGGTAGCCAGTATTACCCTTGTCAATCACTGACCGTCGACAGGCACAGATTTCTTGATTTTAGGCGGTGATGAGCCGCTCATCATGTAACTATGTACGAAACTTCAAGCAATCTGCTCAGCATGAACCATCGCATCTCGATTAGACTCAAGCTTCATTTACACAAGTGCTTACTGGATAAAAGGACCCAAGCATGCACCATAACGAACTAGTATCTCAGAGTGCCTGATCGTGTATACTCCGACCAAATATTGAGTCAAACCAGTGCCAAACGTAAGTACTTGGCTGCCCAGAACCGGACCTTGCTAAGTTCTGATTTTGGGACATCAAGTTGTTCCGAGTCAGGGCACTGTCGTTCCTGCATGAGCGGACTTCTGAGAAGCGAGTCTACCAATATAAGCTTCAACGTTCAGCTTGGAGATCAATTGCTTCACGTCCCTCCTTTTGAACGAGTTTCACAGAGACCTTCAACATGGGATTGTTCTCCGTGGCTCGTATCACCCTTTTCTGTAAGTTATGAATCTCTTTTTGAATCTGTTAATTAGAAGCTCACTTTCGAATGTGATCGTATAGCACTCGCTATCGCTTTCTCCCTCATTGCATTAGGTCTCGATGCCTACTTCGTCTCGTTGACGGTGCCACATAATTTCTACTTTGTCTTCAGTGCTTTGGGCGTTGCGACTGCAGTGTTGACAATTCTTACTATTCCAATCATGTGCGTATGCCTCTGTCTGGTCACCTTGATTGTCTCAATTGTTCCCAGGTTGATCCTTGATTTTATACGACGTGGGGCGGTCACCTCCATGATTATCTTCGAGCTCTCATGGCTCTGTATGTAGTATATCTGGAATAATGTGTGTTGGTCTAATCCTTCTCATATACAGTCATCCTTGCGATTTTATGGGTTGCCACTGCTGGCGAGGCTGTCTCCACCTTCAACTATTACTACCCTCAGGGCTGTGATTACCGGAGTGGTACGTGGATTTCAGATACCATCTCGAATCATGCTCAGTCACTACCAGGTTCCGATGTCGAAACGTATTGCATGGAGTTGCAGGCAGTCGAGGCTTTCGCATTCCTCAATTTCTTCATATGTAAGTTATTACGCGGTTTAGGTCTCGCTTTTTCCTAACGAGTCGTTCTAGTCTTGGGCTACACTGCCGTACTGCTGGTATTTTCCATCATTGGATCCAGTCGTGGCAATGGTGTCTGGATGTACTCTGTCAAAGAGGCCAAGTTCCTTTCGCAAAACTCGTCGCGCGTACAACAGCAGGTTCCTCTAAGTCAGTACTCGGGCGCTCCTCCTACGGGGTACGCTCCTGTTCAGCTAGGGACCTACAGTAATCACAGTGGCACGCCTGGCCAATCAGTCCATACGCAACCCCAGCAATTTCAGCCATTGTATTCTGGCCAGCCACAGGGTATTACTGTTTAACATGATCATCGACTACTTGCAGATAATCTGCTCTGACTCGCCTGTTTGTCGTCTTCTATTGTGCCAATGCAGTTAATTATAATACCCAATAACATTTTGCGTTCCTACAACATAACCCTCTATGGCATCATGGTTAGGCCTTGCAATCATGCTTCTTCGTTGTTGTGCGTGAATTGAGAAGATCGGGATGTCCACGGGAGATAAGTAGTAGCCTATTATTCATTTATGTTCAATGTCAGTACTTGCTTAAATTTGCAGTAAGCTGCAGGCGTGTAACTTTATGAAACGTGTCCAACCGTGACTTGGTCGCGACAAAGTCTACCATTGTCCCTGTCGCAGTAGACTTCTCGAACACGAACTTCTCTTACTCCTGCGCTTCACTGAATTGCTCTCCCTTCATTGCGCACTCGATATTGCTACTAATACTGACGATTGATTCAGCCTCTCAAGAATGTCTGAGGATGATGATCGCGCCGCGAAGGCCGCGAGGGCAAAGGCCTTGGTTTGCATCCTTGAAAGTTCAGTTATTTCACAGGCTCACGTATTTCCGTAGCTCGACAAGCGACGACGGAAGAGGGTTGCTGGCAGCGGCGCGTTGGCAAGTCCACCTCCATCGAGGTCGTTTACTCCTGCTCCCCAGGAATCTGCACCTTCCACGGAGGACACCAAGAATGATGTTGCTGACCTGTATGTTTGCGATCTCTCACCTGTTGATCACGCTCAAACTGCTTTCATTATTCCTTAGATTCACGCCAGCAGATTCGGACGCGAACTGGATAGAATCTCTGTCTAGAGCGAACGTGCAGCACTCGACAGTTTCCAATGCATTGCCAACAAATGCGCCTACTTCATCATCTCTTTCTGGGCCAGCTGAGGCATTGCAATCTCAGGTGACATCCATGCAGACAATGATTGCTTCTGTTCAAAGTGAGAACAGCAGCTTACGGAGTTCGCTAAGTCGCCTAGAAGCACTTGAGGCAGGCATGTCAACCATTCTTTTACCCCGGCTGAGTCTCATTCGCATTCGCAGGAACCAAAGCCCAGTTAAAGAAGCTCGAAGAAGAAAAGAGCACACTCAAGCTTCAGCTTCATCAGGAACAGCAGCGTGCTCAAGATACGTCAAGAAGGGTGGAGGTGGTGTCCCAAGAGAAGCGGTCATTGGAAGACACGCACCGCTCAAGTCAGGCAGAGATTCTGCGATTGAAGTCGCAGGCTGATGAGCTTCGCCGAAGTCATGTAAAGGAACTTGATGATCACCGCCGCATAGCAAATCTACACAAGGAAGAGGCCGAGAAGCTTTCAAACCAGCTCGGCGCAGCACGCGTTGAAATCCAAGACTATCACACTAAAGAGGTGGAGTCCACTAAACATTGGAACGAACAGGAAGAAAACCATCAGAAGACCATTACCCTCCTTGTTTCAGAAAAGACATCATTGCTAGCTTCAGTTGCTCGTCTGGAGGAGCTCGAGATGGGTATGTTGACTACTTCAATGACGTTCTCGTCTAACTGTACTTTATATCTAGAGACACAAGAGAAGGGTGAATTGCTCCAGGCTGAACGCGAAAACTCACGGTCGCTCGACGAACGCGTCAAAGACCTTGAGAGCAGTTCCTCTAAGCTCAACATACAGCTGCAGGAAGCCCTGATACGAGAAAGAGACCTGGCTGAAAAGTCGCGAGATCAAGTGAGCAATCTAGTTCTACCAGGAGTGCCCTGCTTAACCTTTTTTCAGGAAAGAGAACTACAGCTTCTCAATGCTTCTCTGGAGGAAGCGAGGTCTACATCCGAACAGCATCGACAACGTGTTCGTGAACTTGAGGAGCAAATAGAAAGTGACGATCGTGCCGAACGGCTGGAGGAGTCACTCAAAAACACTCAAAATCGCGCAGAAGAGCTCGAATTTCACCTCTCTAAGCTCAAACAGGCATGTAGCTATATACCTCTCTGTCCGCTAGTGCTCACCACACAAGTAGACTCTCGCGAACGCAAAACACGAGAAGGATGAGTTACAGTCTCAGCTTCAATTGCGGAATGATAGCGAAACTGAGTGGAAGGCCAAGCATGCAAGTCTCGAGGAGCAATACTCATCCCTCCAAGAGCGTATCCATTCTACCAATCAAGATCGTGATGCGTTGCTTGAAGAGCGCGCGTCACTCCAGTCTCAGGTTAACTTCAATCAAAGCGCGATTAAGCAGCTTCAGCAAAAGCTTGGTGAAGTCGCGTCGGAGTTGTCGTCGAGCGATCGTGCTCTTCAGAATGCTCACAGCGACCTGAGGGCTGCCAATCGGCGAGCTGAAGAAGCCGAGAGGACGCAGAAAGATCTGCAAACAGAGGGAACGAGGCTGATGCAATCTCTGGATGAGATGCGACCCAAATTTGTGGAGCTTACCTCCACCAAAATGGATTTGATGGAACGAATCGACAAGCTTGAGTACGAAAAGAATTCACGAGAGGTTTTCATCTCGAAGCTCGAAAATGCGCTTAGCGAGGCGACGGAGCGGGAGGCCGAGGCGGCTCAAACTCGCAAAGAAGCAGACTCGTTGCATGAGAAGGACAATGTCTCACTGCAACAATCAATCGCTGAGCTACAGCAGGGCTACGCTGAACTCCAAACTGAACTAGAGTCATCGCAGATGGCAGCTACTCAGTTTGGAGGGGGATCGTACAAAGCTGCGACAAATCGAAGCGCGTCAGCTAGAAATCATTGACCGCCTCTCTGCGGAATCCAACCAGCACTCACAAGTAATGTCCCGCTTGGAGTCGGACCTTCGGTCATACAGGAACCTTGAGGAGGAACACCGCGCTCTGATAGAACGATCTAACTACGAGCATGAAGCTCTCCGGGCCGAGTTGAACGCCAAGGATAATGAGATAGAGCACCTTCGAACCTCTTCATCAGACGAGGCTGCTCCTCGTTCACTGGATGACGAGATGATCAGCGCAGTCAGAGTTCAACATGCTATGGATCTCTCCAATGCCAACTCCCAAATTCGCACTTTGGAAACTGCCGTCTTCGAAGCTCAGGCAAAGTCGCATAGCCTGCAGAAGCAAATCAGCATCTTAGAGGACCAGCTCGCACAACAGCGCTCCACGTCGAGAGCAACTTCAAGACCGTTTTCTCCCGGGGTGCCAGGCAGACCCTCCAGTCGCACCCTTGATTTACGACGCGGGTCTTTCACTCACAAATCAAGCAATCTTGCCCCGCCTTCCCCGCGGACCGTTTTTGACGTTGGACTCTCGCCCGAAACTCGTCACAAGCGTCAAGTTAGTCTTGGCATGTTAAAAGCACGTATCGATAGTGAGCTTGCAGCATCAGCTGGTGGATATCCTTCGTCGCGACAGCTTTCCCCTGTTCCACAAGGCAACGAAGGAATATCGGGTCAGGAGCCAAACTCTCCTTCGTGGCATGCACAGCACGTACACCGACGACCACAGTTCATGGACGAGTCTCACATATTCTGGTGTCATTCGTGTGATGGAGAGTTGGTTATTCTATGACATCCCTGTTATTGGTTGCATTTTACATATCTAGATTACAAGTTTGACTTTCATGCATGTGTGGCCGATACCTGTCAGTCATAATATTCATTATCTGGGTTTACATAAACTGGATAAAAATCACACAACAAAGCGACATCAAATTTAAAACAAGTAAAAGAGTGTAATAGTACTGATCATCAGCAAAACCCATCCTGTCTTGTCCGAAGATTGTGAAGCTTATGCAGCAAAGACTAGCGTGCCAAGAAAACATTGAGTGGATGACCTCATGAAACATGATTGAACTCACTTCAACTTCCTCGGGAAGAAGCGTCCCTCTCTTCCTTTCCTCTTCAACGCCCTTCTCAATGCTTTCCAAAATATCATGAATAAGCTCACGATAATCTACGCCGAAGAAATGCGTCAATTTGGCAGCTCTTCGCCTGCGCAACTGGAAGTCAGATGACTCCCTGGGCGATGCCATAGGTAGTTCAGTAGTTATCGACGAGGCCATGGATGCCCGCGTTGGTAACGAAAGTCTACGTTCCGACTTAAACGAATATGACGAGCTGGAAATCCTACGAGATTCTAGCAAGGGCTGATCCTCAATTGGAGATTCCACTTCTACTAAATCACCATGGAGGAACCGATGAAGCTCCGCAAGAGACGCCCTGTCATCCTTTGAAATGGTGAGTGCAGTCCATGAGACCATACCTGTTCACTCACTCGTTCAATGATGTCTGTCAGCGATGCGATAGAATGTTGATAGTTCATGTACACAGAAGATTGTGCGAGCGTGGCCGCATAGTCCGACGTCTGAGCAGGCTCCGGAGAGCTGGAACGCTTGAAGGGAAGTAGGAACGTGGTTGAATCCGAAGTTCCTGGACGATGCAATTTCTTCCCCTTCATGTATGCGGACTGGTTTGGATTACGCCGGGAGAAACCAGGAGCATTGGCGGGTACATAAGTTGGGGTCATAAGCGACGCTACAGGGGATACCGGTTGAGAGCGGGCCACTGTTTCAGGAACTTGACGAGTATGGTACAACGTTTGCGGAGGGGGGATACCAAAAAGCTGATCAAAATTATGAGCCTTTCTCGTGACGGGTAATAAGGAACAACATACTTTTTCCATCTTCTGAGCACGCCTGACATTCACAGCCTTCTCCTCATCGTCGAGCTCTGTCTTGATACGCTCAAACGATGGGGCAGATGAACCACTCCTTCGCCTGTAAAGCCACATATCGCGGCCGTCCACAGGCATCGACGATGGAGGTAAAGACGGACCAGGTATATGACCAATGACTAAGTCCGTAGGGACGCGTGAGCCGAGAAAACGGTGGAGTTTAGCCAGTTTGTCACGCTTTCTTCTTCTCTCGGCTTCGGCTTGTTCCTCGGGCGTAAACGCCTCCACGACAGATGGTGTCGAGGATGAATGATGGAAGATTCGGCGACTATTTGCCGTGTCCGGCATTTCTAAACTGATCGCGTCCGAAGCATCATTTGAATTATCTTCGTCTGAAAGATCAATGAAAGAAGTTGAGGAACCATGTTGGTGCTGCGGATCCCTATGGCGGTACGAGCCGTGATGATCGCGAGTGGCTGATGGCTCCGGTGAATCATCCAAGTAAAAGGTAAAGCTACGTGGAGTGTAGGGAGTGGAATATCTGCGACCATTCTGTGTTGATGGGTAGTCTATAACTTGCCATGACGATGACGGTTCCGATTTGAAGCCGGGGGCCTTTACGGCAACAGATACAGACATTGCATGACGATGATGCTTCTGCTTCGATGATCCCAGCAAAGCAGAGAAAGGGGGCTGTGGTAGCATCTTAAGTAGGCGTGATTCCTCTACTTCAGACGCAGCCGTTTCAATAGCCGGGGTTTGTCCTAACAGTTGCGCCAACTTGCGATTTCTCCGTATGAGGTCAGCTCGCTCGTTGGCGTCAAGCGTGTTAGTCGTCGGTGGTAGGGGTACCTTGAGACGAAGGGGTGGTTGAGGAGAAGACGAGAAAGAACGTTTCTGGAAGCGGGGTTTGCGACCCCTTTTCTCGAACAAAGGCTTCGCAGTAGTTGGAATGGGTGGTTTCAAGGTATCTGTGGTATCAGGGAATGTCAGGGTGGGCGTTGCAAACTCAGGCGTTGAAAGCGAGGTCGCTGATGAACATGGTGAACCAGGGCGATAGGAAATAGGCGACAAATATAGACCAGAAGTAGGACTTGTAGGAGCAAATATCATTGCCGAAACGTCTGAGTGTGAGGATGTCGAAGAGCTCCGTCTTGAGTGTTGCGGGGAATCAAGAACTTCGTTGGCGGCAGAACTAGGACTGGCCGGGGCAAAAACCATGCTAGGAAGGTCGTTCAAGGATGAATTACGAGAAGTACTAGAATATATGCTTGAAGATAATATAGGTGGTGAAGATGGACGGCGAGTAGATATAATAGATGGGTCGTCCTGCACATGCTGGGAGACTGAAAACGAAGGCGAGAAAAAATCGATGAATGATTGCTGGTCATGACTTGCTCGTTTCTGCAGCAGAAGTGGCATTTCGATCGGGGATACGGGGCGTAAATGAGGCAATGAAGATGCGTGAGGTGTGCTTGATGGATTAGGAGATATGGCCCCTGCTGACGGCGAATGTCCAGATTTAGGGGAGAGGGAGCAGGTAGATGAAATCGAAGGCGAATTGGCACTTGTATCTGTACCAGTCGAGAAGGGAGACCTAGCTCGCACAGGAGGGAACTGCCGCAATTCAGTTGTCAGAGGGAAGACGTTAGGATTTGAGGCTGTTTCTGCATCCCCAAACGCGGATAGTTGATGTGACATTGCTCGGTATCCCGATCCTCGCCCGTGCCGCACCTGGGGTACTACAGCCATGAACCAGCGTTAACATCTCACTGTGACATTTGGAAGAGGCTGACCTGAAAGAGATGACTGATAGGCGCTAGAGTCTACCAACTCTGTGCGATGAGGCCGGAAATCAACGTGATCTTCCTGTTTTGGCTTCATACTGCTGGGAATAGCAGCACTTGTGAGAATGCTTAAAGACTCGCGCCCCTTGGTAAAGATCTTCTCAACCTTGTGCAAAGTAGGTGATGAGCGACAGGAAGGGATGAGATGTACCGGTGAGTCAGAAGTGTGGTAGACATCTGGCTCACTCCTGTACGCAAGCGACGTTATTGTCTCTGTGGAACTGGCATGACTATTCTGTGGTGACAGATATGATGTGGGACCTGTTGTCGTGTGAGTTGACGTGAGTGATCTTTCCAGATATGATCAAGAGAAGTACTTGCCTGCTGCTCTGGCATCAAATGTATTAATAGTTGGCACAACGGGTGTTGATTTGATATAGGGATTGGGCGTAGTGGCAGATCTGGAGGATTCGGGGCTTGAATGGCCAACAGGACCATTCGTGGCAGGACCTAGAGAGTCTGGCCAAGAATCAGACCTAACGTTATTCTTCTTCCGCCGAATTTCCTTGACGCGGTTCTCGTGATTGGCTACCTTCCTTACTGTGTTGCGGGGCGGTGGTGGCCCAAGACTGACAGCAAATCCCGACGCGTGCGAGATAGGATGATAAGGACTGGTTGGAGAATTGCTGCCACGACGAGTAAGTTCGTCATGTTGGAGAAGGGCCTCGAGGTTGGGACATATTTGTAGAGAAGTAGCTGAAACAGGTAAGACAACGTTGAAGGATGATGCAGAATCCTTACGGGTCGTGCAGGACATGATCTTGGACATGACGGTAAGAAAGAAAGCCTCTGGCTAGAGGGTAGTTGAACCAGGTAGATTAAAAAAAAAATAAGTTCCTCCCGCCGCTTAGAGTATATAACGGTGGGGCAGGGTGAGGCCGGTGACAGTAATATCAGAATGAAACTTGGAATTGAGTTTCAGAGGTTTCCTAAATCTTTGACTTGATGATCACGGAGTAGAGCAAAAAGAAACAGGGATGGTCGATGGTCTTCCGTTTCAAATAGTGAGTAATGCCGAAGCTTGGACCAGGGTCATCTTTTGTGCACGGCACGCTCTCCGACTCTGTTACGGCCACCGACACCTGACGACCACCTCTTCGGACCCTCCTGTCCAATAAGTTGACCCACATGGCATATCGAACCGAAGAAAAACACTCAAACATTAACTTTTACGATACGAGACGCGCTCTACTTACATCAATAAGAAGTGCACTAGTACCGATAATACGTAGCCCTTATGGCAACTTAGGTAATTTAAAATTTATACTTTGCTGGCCTGCCACGTCGCATCCAAGTCATTTTCAAAAAATCCAGAGCATATGATTTTCGGACAAATGCAGTGCTGAATTGTCATTGTGTCCTGGTCATCAGTATGCTGAGTTGACTTTTAAATACGTGCGTCGATTATACCTAAATGCTAACGAAAAAAAAAGTACGGAGAGAGAGATAAGAACAATGCAATGCAAATCAGTGATTAGTAGTACATGAACTAGGCAATTTTCATACGTTGACATATAGGCTAGCGTGCTGGCCCGGGTTTGCGCGGAGGTAATGGAGGCCTGTTATCCGGTCCTTTCACAATCACCGGTTCGGATGTGCCAACAGGTGGTGACGTTTCAGCCGGCTCTGGAGATGGATTCGATGATCCCTGCACCGGCGAAGCTCCTCTCATATCTTCCGACGCAGCTGATACAGAAGGAACAGCATCTTCGAACGAATCAGCCGCAGTACGTGGTACCGATGACACCGTCCGCGGAGGAAGAGGAGGAGGTGGTGGTCGTGCAGACGGTGAAGCGACATCGGTAGAAAGACTGAGTGGAACAACATCCGCATTACGTTCATCTACATCTGCGCGTATAGGCATCAACTGGTTATCCGAGCCTTGTGGTTGACCTGTCAGAATCGGACTTTTCCATAAACGATACATGCTTTGAATAGCAGGCCCCTTCGGCTTGCTCTCCGGGGGTGTTGACGATGGCGCAATATTCCCCATTGACATGGGTTCCCCACGGTGGCTTGCATGGATCCCCGGAATAGTCATTGTCCGCGCCTGTGAAGGTTGGGTATGAATAATAGATGGCCTGCGGTGCTCCTCTGTCTCATCCGCGAAATCGCGGTCTTGGAGTAGATCATTTTCCGTCGCTGACTTCGACAAAGAAGGTGCAACAAATCTAGATGAGGAGCTCCCTTCCGATGAACCGCCTTGCATTATGTGGGGAGGCGATGCAGGTGCACCAGATAACAATGACATGTGACCGCTCGACAGGCTTGTGGACCTCTTTTCTTTCCCATTGGGGATAGGAATAGGGGTGGACCCACCATCGTCCCTGCGGTCTCTCCGTTCTGCAACAGCAGCACGCACTTCTGCATAATTGGGGCGGCTATGTGTGCTCTCTTTCCGAATACGAGCATCCGAAGGTCCGACGTCCGGTACGTCATCCTGAGAGTTGACACTGCTATCTTTCTTAAGACCACCCCAATTGACCCCCCATTTACGCATTGCTTCCTTAGCAGAATTGCTCAGTGCTTGCTTGTCTGTGGCTTTGGACTTCAGCGTAGAGAACAATGAACTCGCTGTATTCAAACCGGTGGAGGGTCGGGGGCTCTTCGAGGATGCGCCAGAGTCAGAGAGGCCATTGAAGGACTCCTCGCCACCGACGGAGACCGAAGAAGAGACAGAATCTGCCCGAGAAGACCTAGAACGTGCTAGAGAGTGTGCCGATGAGGACCGGCCACGGTATTGCGGGGATAGGTACTCTTCATCCAATTCCGTCTCACCAGTGGGTTTGTCTGGATGAGAGTTAGCAGGAAGACCTTGTTTTGGCGTTGTAGAACTTGTAGCGCGACTCCGCCGTCCACGAAGGTCAGACTCCTCGACATCGTCGCCTACATCAAAGTCATCTCCACCAGGCCTAGAGGCTTTTACATTGCTGTCTGAGGTTCCAGTGGTTGCAGAGCGGATGACTGGCACACCTCCAAGTGATGATGCATCAACTACCAGGTCTTCAGCCGACACTGAACGCTTTATTAACGGTGCCGTGACCTCTTCGGAGGTGCCTGAATTAGATGGGAGGTCTGCCTCAGATGCCGCAGGTTTTACACCTTTTGCTTCAACTTCTGGTGAGGTCGAGGTAGGCTCTGACTGCTCGCGCCGCGCAGCATCCGACCAAAGTCCGCCACGATGTAAATATGGCGAGCTGTCAAAGAAACTGATATCATCCATGTTGGGCATTACGACGGACTCTTGTATCTTAGTCGTACAAAAGATTAGATTGTGATCGATATGATAGATCACCAAGAATACTCACCACCTCAATGATTCTTGACTTGATCGTGTCAAGTATCATGCTCCATGTAATTTGGCGATCGCTCACGATGGGCTCGACATCAATGACCACACGCGGGGTCTGCGTGAACGCGTACCATATCCGACTACTTGGTGGTCGCTTGACCTTGATGAGGAGGTTTCCATCTATCTCCCGTAGAATAACCGCTAGCACTAGTTTAACGGTGTACGACTTAAATCGAGCACCGAGGTTGATTGTAGCAGTAGCCTCGACGGTCGCACGGACCTCCCCCTTGTATGTAAAGCGCACCTCGAGCGATGCATCGCCCTCTTTCGTGAGCTCCTTCAACATCGGCTTGCTAAGTGTCGGGGCATTGTTCCCAATTGAGAATTTGGTGACAGAAATGTCTGTGAGGAATGCAGGACGCTTGACTTTGGAAAGCTTCTTCATGAGACGACCGATGATGTACGACTCTAACACCTGTGTGCGGTAGAAGCTGAAGAATATGCGCCCAAGTAGCGCGTTTAACCAGCGCATGGGGATGACATCGGGTTGCTCATCAAGAGTCACGACAAGCTTGTTCATTTCCGAAGGGAGGAATACGCTCTGGAGTGGGTCAAGAGTAGGCATGCCAGTCGGATGCTCAGACGCATGCACGAGCGCAAAATACCAATCCTCCATCTCGACGCACGAGCGGACAAATATGAACCATGGTGTCGATGCGCTCAATGCCTCTTGTCGTGCAACGTCCCGGTTCTTCTCTTCTTCAACGAGTCGCTCGCGTTCAGCAGTCCGCTTCTTCAAGCTTCCACCTGCCTCCTCCACCTTCTCATCTATATTGATATCTTGAAGCGCTGTTTCATTTTCCACGTTCGGAATTATATTTTCCTCGAGTATTTGTCTTGGGCGCAGGCATATGGCATTCCGTTTTGTGTAGAGCTCCCCGTCCAGAAGTCCTTCCGGGTAAACAGACACCTCTTGTCCACCCAACTCTATAGCCGCTTCACACTCCGTCCTACTTTCGTCTTCGTACAGGTACAACACTGTGCCCTTCAGGACAACGTACCACATATCCTTCGGGCGTGAGCGCTTAGGGTCCTTGGAACGCGCATCAAGGTAGGAGCGGACGAGAGTGACGTATGATCCATCGGATGACGCGGATTCTTCAAATGTTCTACGCATGGTAAGCCATCCTTTGCGCGTCCTGGGCTTGTCATTGACTTCCAGCGAGGAGGCAGAATCTTCTGTTTCTGCTCGTGGCTCAGTCGACTCGGTGTGGGGTTCTGTCTTGGCATCATTGCCTGAGTTAGTTTGCACGGGGATAGAGGTGTATATGGCGATGCCAACGACGATAAGGATGAGCAAGGGAATGAACGTCAGTCCGCCTAAGATGTACGCATAGAAGAGCGCTTTGAACGACATGTCAGAGACTCAAGCGCGTGAGGTTGTCACTACTATGATACGTAGTACTACTGGATTAACTTCCGGTTAGCACTAAACCTGATAAAACTGGCTTTAGCGGTCAGACTAGCTGAAAGGAAAGGAGGGGAGATAGAGAACCGTTGGGTCTGTACGTTTGTGGGGCAATTGGGTGAGGAGGCCAGCGGCATATAATTTCCCACGTCAAGTAAACGTGTCTTCAATTTCCGCTGAATCATGACCATAAGTTGATCTCTACAACGGTATTGAACAAATATGAGTTAGTTAACATGATAGATACAATGCATGAGAATGATACATAATTTATATAATGAACTACCCAAGACGGCGAATGCGACAAACGAGGGACAGTGAAGTCAGTGGTAGATCGGAGCAACAGCAACTCAAACATTCGTCTGACAAGGAGGCCGTAACCTTGAACATCGCCTAGAAACCACGCTCTTAGAGTACAGCCCTCGTCTACACTGTTCATCATGTGTAGGAAGGACAGCACACCAATGGCCGTTGACATACTTCCAATCATCAGCGCGGTTGTCAAGATTGGATGAAGCTACAAGGGGCGGAAATGCGCCGTTTGATGGGGCGTGTGTGGGCACTGTGAGACGCGCGCCAAATGCTGCATCTTGATACGGTACCCAAGACGAGGTTTCGCGTGGCTGAGATGGACACGGTGAAACGATGATCATTGGAGCAGAAGGGTGGGTAGGTTTGATGACGAGTGGTTCGACCTTTGGACAAGTTGAGCATTAATTTGTAAATACTCGAATTCAAACTCACTAAAGCAGACGATCGCCTACGCTTTCTTCTTGGTCGTTCTGGTAGCGATATTTCAGGACACGTCAAGGCGCTGTCTTCTGCCGCATGAATGCGGGAGCCCGGCGACGACGACGGCTGGGAAGCCACTTGCAAATTTTCATTCATCTGCACATTTGTTCCAGTTGAACTACATACTCTAGTGAGATAGGCAAAAGCGTGACGTACCTGTTCTAGCTCTTCATCAAAGGGGTCTAGTTCGGACAACAGCCTAGCAACTGTATCCAAGTCTTCCTTCACAACATGTTTCAAACCACGATACACAGGCTCAATAGTTTGGCCACACAGCCCGCGCCACGACAAGTCGAGACAGGTGAGCACGTTTACATCGACTAACTAGATGTGAAGTATCCACCAGTTTAGATGACGATGGTAGATGACCTTGGAATGGACTTACCATGCCATTGTCATTGCCAGACAATACATGTTCAACGCGCACGTCCAGCCACCTGGCAGATTTGTGTGATAGTCGAGCAAACATTCCTTCCGTCCCGCTCAAAGTACACCAAAAAAAGTATTTACTGTACGAGGGACTTCGAGGCCCCAAATACCTGCGGAGGCGAAGTAGATAATGTGTAAATCTTTGATGTAAGACTCCACAGAATAGGCTTCAGGTATCTCTGAGGATGGAGAGGAAGAAGCATGGAGGCCCGGACATTGGGCCAAGGGAAAGCACATGGAAGAGAACAGTGGACGTGTTTTTCACTCCGGATATGAAGAAGCCGAAGCCGGTAGACAAACAATTGTGCACGTGGGAATATGGCTTCAAAAAATTGGTCTGATGGATTTTAGTAAATATTCCTATACCCATTTAGATTGCTTTGTGAAAGAATTCTAACAACTGCAATGATCGATGCACAGTACTTATAGACTCATGACCAGCCCTAACCTCCATCAATAGATGCAAGAGAGGTGCAAATGGCAAATCCCATATATGTGGCTCACATAAGCTTTTGAGCCTTGATATTCAGCCACTTGAACTTTCAGGGCATGCATTCTGAGTTTTGACCTAGTGGTCTCACAAGTTAATAGTTTTTTGTTTGCTACTGGAAAGGGGGGGTTGTTAGTACTGTATAATGTCGGAAATTTCTGAAGTTGATTGCAATCACATACCTTTGAGACTTGGTTCCAACCATATTGGAACTGAGTTGAGATATTAATGGTATTCAAGGTACGCTCTGAAACTATTATGAAAGCTTTCTGAAGCGTGTCAGAAAGTCTTGGAAGGTTTGGCATGCACAGTCGGAGTCTGAAATCAAACTTCATGCAACACGACGCGCAAGATGCCTGTACAACGACCTGAAGCTCGTCGCTCAGAACATATTAAAGCATATTTTGACACCCGAAATAGACCGCGTATGTCCCAGGCTACTAAAAGACCTCCCCACACTAGGGGGAGGGGCACTACTCGAGGTACAAGAGGACAAGGACAAGCCACCATAACTACTGCTGCATCCAGTGGCACTGGTGCACCCGCTGATCCTCCCCAATCTGATGCCATCTTGGGAGATGTTGGAGCTGATACGTCCTCTGGCATGGGAGGGAAATATCCAGCGCACTAATGCCCTTGTGCAATATCTAGTGACTCATGCTGCGGACCGCCGGATTCTATTCAATGAAGGAGGGAAGAAACCTGATGATGAAGGCCCTCCATCTGGCAGCAACAAAACTAAGATATGCGCGGTGATCGCACAGCACATATTTGAGACAGATCAGGAGTATATGGGGTGGTATTCTGAAGACCCGGCCAAGTTCACAAGCACAGTGACCAATCGTTTAAATTAGTGCGTCCTTTCCCTCCTCTTCACATTCTATTCATCCGTTTATTGTAATTTTTAGCCTTATGAACAAATACAAGAGACACTGCGGTCGCTTCTCACAGACTGGTGCAGGCATTGACCCGTCTCAACCTAATGCCAGCAATAATCTACTTGGTATGTTTTTCAATTTTTATTTCAGGAATCTATCTAAAACACGCTTAGAACAAGTGATCCTGGAGTTCCCATGGTACAGCGCTCTCGACAACATTTGGGGGCACAACCCTGCATATGCCCCCAAGACATTTTCATCCACTCAAGGGGTGAATCACGCAGGTGACATGATTGCACTCATGTCAAAGCACAAGGGAAAAGAAAAGGAGGTCCCTCCTGATCTCGACGACAAAGTGATGGAGACTGCCGATGATGGCCTTTCTCCCCCTGCCCCTGCCATCAATACCCCCCCTGCCCCTGCCGTCAATGCTCCCCCTGCCCCTGCCATCAATGCTCCCCCTGCTCCTGCTGTCAACGCTCCTGCCATCAATGCTCCTGCCATGGATGCTCCCCCCGCTGCCCCCCACCTCAATCCTCCCATCGACTATTATACGCTGGAGGATGACCACTTTTTTGAAAACCTGGAGGAGCAGCAAGGGGACTTTGAGATGGGGGACCAGGAGCAGACAGGCCCCCAGGATCGTGTTGCCGGCAAGCGCCCCTTCTCATTGCCCTTGCCACCACCTACACCCCCCGCCCACCTCTCATGGGACCTTCAGGTCCCATGTGGGCTGCGCGATGGGCGATCACGACATTCACTCACCCCCATCACCCCAATCCATCACATCATCATCGGCAGCATCATCATCAGCATGCACAATTATCCTCACATCGGTTGACACCATCTGCACGCAGAGCAAGCAGGTCACACAAGCCAAAATTGAGCCTTTCGGGCGAAGTCCAATCCAAC